ATCATCCTCATTTTCTTCTCAGCACTGTCCTTTGCATTTACTTTCTTAGGACCCATGGTTAGAAAAAAGAAATTTGGCAAAATAACTGCACAAAACGCAAGCACAACACAAGAGAAATACTTCCACGGCTAAGTAAACACGGGCACTGCTGAGCTGATGTTGTGGCGTTCGCTGCGCCAACTAGTTGCGGTGTTCTAAAGTTCGCTTGTTATTATTATTATTATAATGAGGAAGCACTAAACCCATAGGATTATACAGCATCTGTGGGGGGAGGAGATGGAAGGTATTCAGGCTTAATTTAGGGAACTGGAGCATAGATCCAATTCCCTAGGAGGAGTGGGGCTATGTCTGTTGTTTTTAGTAACTGTGGGACGACCCCCGTGTCCATGCTCCCTCTCCATAAGATGGTAAAAGCTCGTGATAGGGGCTTCCTGCAGTTCTTGATGAACACAGAGTTCCATGAGTCTGGCCCTGGGGCAGAGTGCATGGGCATGTCATTTATCGCCTGTTCGAAGTCATTTGGTGTCAGGATAATATCAGATAGGCTTGTGTTAACCAAATTTTGTGGCTCTCTCATAAAAAATTCATTTTGATCTTCGACTCTCAGTCTGGTTAGCGGCTTGCTAAAAACTGAGTCATATTGGGACTTGAGTAGCTCACTCATTTCCTTGCTGTCATATGTGTAGGACCCATCTTGTTTAAGTAGGGGCCCAATACTGGACGTTGTTCTCGACTTTGATTTGGCATAGGAGAAGAAATACTTTGGGTTTCTTTCGGTTTCATTTATGGCTTTAAGTTCGCGATTCCTGACTCCTATAAGACTCCTTTAGCTTAAGTTTGATGTTTGCTATTTCTCTGACCAGTGTCTCCCTACGCATTTCAGATATGTTGGCCTCTTTTAGCCGCTCTGTTATTCTTTTCCGTCGCCTGTAAAGGGAGCGCCTGTCTCTTTCTATTTTACATCTACTCCTCCTTTTTCTTACAGGAATAAGCCTTGAGCATACATCGACTGCCACCGAGTTAATTTGTTCTAGGCATAAGTTGGGGTCTGTGTTGCTTAGTCTATCTTCCCAGCTTATATCGTTTAGGATTTGATTTACTTGGTCCCACTTTATGTTCTTGTTTTTGAAGATGAATTTGGTGAATGCTCCCTCGTGACTAATCTCATTTTGTCGGTCTGGGGCTCCGCGCATACATGTCTGAACCTCGATTAGGTTGTGATCTGAGTATATTGTTTTTGATATGGTGACATTTCGTATCAGATCATCATTGTTAGTGAAGATGAGGTATAGTGTATTCTCCAGTCTAGCAGGCTCTATTATTTGCTGGTTTAAGTTGAATTTTGTGCAGAGATTTAAAAGCTCGTGTGAGTGAGAGTTCTCGTCAGAGCTGCCTCCTGGTGTTATTACTGCAACAACATTGTTTGCTATATTGCCTCAAGTTGAAATCCCCCTGGAGCAAGATGTTTGGGGCAGGAACTGGCAGATTTTCCAGACAGTGGTAAATTTTTGACAGCTGTTCATGGAATTGCTGGGACGTTGCATCTGGAGGCTTGTAGACTACCACAATGACTAGGTTTTGGTTCTCGATCTTTACTGCTAAAACTTCCACTACATCATTTGAGGCATTAAGCAGTTCTGTGCAAACAAGTGACTCTGCGATATACAGGCCAACCCCCCCCCCCACCCCTTTTGCCTGTTCACTCTGTCGCATCTGTATAGGTTGTAACCTGGGAGCCATATTTCGTTGTCCAAGTGATCCTTTATGTGGGTCTCTGTGAAAGCCGCAAATATTGCATTTGCCTCTGCAAGCAGTCTACGGATGAACGGTATTTTGTTGTTCGTTGCTGGCTTTAGACCCTGTATATTTGCAAAGAATGTTATCGGACTGGTGGTATTGTTGGTACTGGGGGGAACTTTTTTTTCCTGCTCTAGTATCGGTATCTGTTTGTTTGGAGTGGAGGCCATCGACTGTGATTCCACTCCAGAAATGACTGGATTTGGCGTACGATTTCCGCCATTTCCTGCCATTTTTTTTTCCTTCCTGGCACTAAAAAACCTCTCCCTCTTGAGTGGCTGTGGCTACCCACGTTTTTCCATGGCCTGGATGTTTTGTATCTTTTTGTCCCCTTTAGATGGTATGCCTGACAAGTTATAGCACAGTCTTTCCTGTACTGAAGTGGGACACATTTCAAATCTGAAGTACATCTTTGATACTACATAAAAGAATTTAAAGTTAAAACAAAATAAAAGTAAAAATCAATTGAACACTTAAAACAACTTAATTTCTTTTCAGAAGGTCATTTATTAACTCAATTAGGTAAATAACCTCCTTTTCCAAATTCAGATTTTGATTAATCTGTATTCCATACAATTTAAATTTATTAGGAGTCGGAGTCGGTACATTTTTACCGACTCCGGTAACCCAAGCTTCGCTTCCGACTCCGACTCCAGTAACCCAAGCATTGCTTCTGACTCCGACTCCAGTAACCCAAGCATTGCTTCCGACTCCAGTAACCCAAGCATTACTTCCGACTCCAGTAACCCAAGCATTAAATTCGACTCCAGTTAAACCCAAGCATTGCTTCCGACTCCAGTAACCCAAGCATTACTTCCGACTCCAGTAACCCAAGCATTACTTCCGACTCCAGTAACCCAAGCATTGCTTCCGACTCCAGTAACCCAAGCATTACTTCCGACTCCAGTAACCCAAGCATTACTTCCGACTCCAGTAACCCAAGCATTGCTTCCGACTCCAGTAACCCAAGCATTACTTCCGACTCCAGTAACCCAAGCATTGCTTCCGACTCCAGTAACCCCAAACATTATTCCGACTCCAGTAACCCAAGCATTACTTTCAGACTCCAGTAACCCAAGAAATTGCTTCGACTCAGAACCCAGCACTTTACTTCCGACTCCAGTATAACCCATGCATACTTCCGACTCCAGTAACCCAAGCATTGCTCCGACTCCAGTAACCCAAGCATTACTTCCGACTCCAGTAACCCAAGCATTGCTTCCGACTCCAGTAACCCAAGCATTGCTTCCGACTCCAGTAACCCAAGTATTGCTTCCGACTGCGACTCCAGTAACCCAAGCATTACTTCCGACTGCGACTCCAGTAACCCAAGCATTAATTCCGACTCCAGTTACCCAAGTATTGCTTCCGACTGCGACTCCAGTAACCCAAGCATTCCTTCCGACTGCGGGACTGTACCCACGTTACTTTCCGATCGCCCGAGCTTTGCTTTCCGACTTAAACCCAGTAACCCAACATTGCTTTCCGACTCAAAGTAACACCAAGATACTTCCGACTCCAGTAACCAACATTAACTTCCGAATCCAGAACCAATCATTGCTTACCGACTCAGTAAACCCAAGCATTAAATTTCCCGACTCCAGTACCCCAAAGCATGTTTTCCGATCCAGTAACCTAAGCATTGCTTCCGACTCCAATTTCAAAGTTTCTTACCGACTGCGACTCCAGTACCCAAGCATTACTTACCGACTGCGACTCCAGTAACCCAAGCATAATTATGACTCCCAGTTACCCAAGTATTGCTTCCGACTGCGACTCCAGTAACCCAAGTATTACTTCCGACTGCGACTCCAGTAACCCAAGCATTACTTCCGACTGCGACTCCAGTAACCCAAGCATTAATTCCGACTCCAGTTACCCAAGTATTGCTTCCGACTGCGACTCCAGTAACCCAAGTATTACTTCCGACTGCGACTCCAGTAACCCAAGCATTAATTCCGACTCCAGTTACCCAAGTATTGCTTCCGACTGCGACTCCAGTAACCCAAGATTACTTCCGACTGCGACTCCAGTAACCCAAGCATTAATTCCGACTCCAGTTACCCAAGTATTGCTTCCGACTGCGACTCCAGTAACCCAAGAATTGTTTCCGACTCCGACTCCACAGCCCTGGTCAGCATCACCTATCACAACATTCACTGGGAAGCTGCCACCATCAAACACAAATCACACTGCAGCTACAAACGCCAAGTCATAGAATCTGTCCTCATAGCTACCACTCCCAATTTCAACATCTCACAGGAACAATGGAAACCAGACGACACAGAACAACACAACATCAGGAATTACATAGCACAAAGAAACTACCTACAATTTTTTTTAGCTTCACTTCAGGACCTGTCTCCTCACCCACCCATTGATTGACACGTCCTCCCACTGTCTGACACGTAAAGATATATTTTTTTTCATTTATGTTAATGCAAAAATTAATAATTTTGTATCAAAAGAACATTAGAAAACTTACCTTAATGACCTTATTAACTAATACAAAACATTCTGTATTCAGTTATTTTTATTAATATTTTGCAGTAGACGGGGTCAGAGTTTGAATGTTAATAGTCTGAGGAAACACGTAGTTAAAGGCAGCATCTTACAGCACCTTACACTACTATCATAGTTTTGACCATCACAACCGTTTACCTTCACGTTTTTCCATTTAGATGTGGTCATCATAGCCTATTTTCTAAAAGTTTTTAAGATTTTAAATCGTATTATTCTCGTGTCTTTTAAAGGGCCCCTTAGCCACATGTAATAATAATAATAATAATAATAATAATAATAATAATAATAATAATAATAATCGCTATTTCTACAAGTACTTGATACAATTTTTCAGACCTAGCTGACAACACTGACATACTATATAGAAAGTAAGTTTGTAACTAGTCTCTGAACTATCCATTAACTAGTTAGATCCAGCTACACTAACTGAGACACCTCCTCAGTTACGCTATTATACCTAGCAAGTTACTCTTACTCCAAACTTATTTAATTGACATATGAACATTTTACGTCGATTTAAAAAAAAAAATAAAGCTAGGATCGGATACTGTTCTTGTTAGATATATATATATACATTTTTTTTTTTTGCAACGATGAAAGTTATAAATGAAAATATTCTAGAAGCTTATTTAATGTATGAAAATTATTTACAATACTGCAAGTAGTTAACTATTCTTGGGGGTCATTCATCAAATGTCCTCTGGGTATTCCACAAGCAGCTCTGTGACGTCCGAAGCCCTCGCTCTGGCCTCAGTGTCCACTACCTGTCTCTTAGCATGACCGAACGCGTGTATGGGCGTGGCTTGAGTGACGTGTGGGCGTGGCGAGGCGTGGGGGAGGGCGTGTGTAGGCGAGCAGAGGGGTGGGTCGTGCGTTTATAAGGCTGTGCAGAGAGAGAGACTTCACGATTCATTTCCCTGCCACTACCATCATGTTGGTCTCCCGCTCAGCCACCACCACCGCCCCAAGCATCCTTCTGCTGCTGTGTTCTTCACTGGCCTTCATGCCCCTGGCCGCCGCCGCCCCCGCCCCTGCCCACCACCCCACCTTCAGCCTCCTGCTTCCCAGGGCACCTCTTCAGGAATCACTACAAGTCATTCCTTCCGAAGGTGAGTTCTGACTTGTTAAACACGAACCTCGAACCTTGAAGCAAGTACTTGACTTGTATGGTGGAGCACCAGACACAGGAACACTCACGTTAAGTACTGGACCACCAGACACAGGAACACTCACGTTAAGTACTGGACCACCAGACACAGGAACACCACGTATACGACACCAGAACAGGAACACTCACTTATGTACTGCAACACCAGAAACAAGAACACTCACGTTATGTACTGCAACACCAGACACAGGAACACTCACGTTATGTACTGCAACACCAGACACAGGAACACTCACGTTATGTACTGCAACACCAGACACAGGAACACTCACGTTATGTACTGCAACACCAAACACAGGAACACTCACGTTATGTACTGCAACACCAGACACAGGAACACTCACGTCATGTACTGCAACACCAGACACAGGAACACTCAGGACAGGAGTGTTACTGTGGCTGGTAAATGCTCGACTTCAACAGGAAAACAGTGAACCTTGCGGTAATCACTCGACTTAATTACCTGCACAATGAACCTTCCTTTACAAAAATTGAGCATATGAGCCAAGAGTCCCGATAATGAACACAGTCCGCAAAGTGAACGAGTAACAGAAATGTTTAACAAACTTAAATTTCGTTTTAGCTATTGCAGGCAGTTTGATAACTCAGTAGCAGGAGGATAAAAACTTACTGATACTCACTAATACTCAGCGATACTCACTAATATTTACTGATACTGATACTAATACTCACTGATACTAGTATTGCCCTGTGATGTTGTTACATCACAAGGCAATACTAGTACCAAGATAAATTGTAATTGTGTATGTACCAAGATAAATTGTAATTGTGTATCCTTAAAGATGGTTCAGTAGAGAGTACATGATGAAAGATGGTTCATTGGAGAGTACGTGATGAGAAAGATGATTCATTGGAGAGTACGTGATGCAGAAGATGGGATTTCATTGCAAGTACATGTGAAGTGGGTCATTGAGAGTACATGATAGAAAGATGGTCATTGAGATACTGATGAAAGTGTTCATTGAGAGTACATGATGAGTGGTTCATTGGAAGTACATGATAGAATTATGATGGTTCAGTGGAGAGTACATGATGAGAAAGATGGTTCATTGGAGAGTACATGATGAGAAAGATGGTTCATTGGAGAGTACATGATGAGAAAGATGGTTCATTGGAGAGTACATGAGAAAGTGTTTGTATGATGAGAAAGATGGTTCATTGGAGAGTACATGATGAGAAAGATGGTTCATTGGAGAGTACATGATGAGAAAGATGATTCATTGGAGAGTACATAATGAGAAAGATGGTTCATTGGAGAGTACATGATGAGAAAGATGGTTCATTGGAGAGTACATGAGGAAGATGGTTCATTGGAGAGTACATGATGAGAAAGATGGTTCATTGGAGATTACATGATGAGAAAGATGGTTCATTGGAGAGTACATATGAGAAAGATGATTCATTGGAGAGTACATAATGAGAAAGATGGTTCATTGGAGAGTACATGATGAGAAAGATGATTCATTGGAGAGTACATAATGAGAAAGATGGTTCATTGGAGAGTACATGAGGAAGATGGTTCATTGGAGATTACATGATGAGAAAGATGGTTTGTTGGAGAGTACATATGAGAAAGATGTTCATTGGAGAGTACATGATGAGAAATAATTTCCTAGTTGAGTCTCTCATCGGCAATGTTCATTCTTATCTGCTGGACGAAGTTTTTTCCGCAGATGGTGAAGGGTTCTTGATCCAAGGAATTGGATGTACACCCCCATCCCCCCCGTTGCGCTAACTTATAAAACTCTGTATGACCCCTGCGGGTTTAGCGCTTCACCCTAACAACTTGTGATGCAGTGGTTCTGATAACCACTGAGGAAACGTTTCACCAGCCAGTGGCTTCTTCATCCAATACAGAGAAGAACGATGGAAGTTAAGAGTTTGAGGCAGTCAGTCCCTCAACCTGGAGTCGATGTGTTCAGTCCATCAGTCTCAAGATTGATGGCGAGGCTGGTCACGGACCGGGCCGCGGGGGCGTTGACCCCTGAAACCTTCTCCAGGTATGGTATACCCCTGAGCTATGGTATACCCCTGAGTTATGTTATACCCCTGAGCTATGTTATACCCCTGAACTATGATATACCCCTGAACTATGGTATACCCTGAACTATGGTATACCCATAAATTATGGTATACCCCTGAGTTATGGTATACCCTTGAGCTATGGTATACCCCAGAGCTATGGTATACCCCTGAGCTATGGTATACCCCTGAGTTATGATATACCCCTGAGCTATGGTATACCCATGAACTATAGTATACCCATGAACTATGGTATACCCTTGTTTTCCCAAGATGCAACTTACAGCACCACTAACTCCAAGGTGCCAATTTAATGTTGATTCATAATGATCAGAGGATGTAATCTTGTTCATAGAGTCCACCCTGTCCGGGGATCGAACCCTCGACCTTTTATTTTTAACCTGACTATCCTGATCACTGATCATCAAGTGAATGAGTGTCGTTCACGGTTGTGTGATGCGTCACATAGTCATCTTAAGGCCGCGGTAACGGGGTTGCGTCACATCGTCATCTTAAGACAGCGGTGACGGGGTTACCCAGAGATGATGGTTCCTTACTCAGTAGCAGCGTCTTCCCATCACAGTCGAGATTCTAGGGTAGAATCCTGGGGCGGGTGGAGGCATGGTCAGGTTTCCTTACAGGAGTTGTTTGGTTCACCCAGCAGTAAGTAGGCATCTGGGTGTTAGTCACCTTACACCTGCTGTCCCAGTTCACCTAGCAGTAAGTAGGTACCTGGGTGTTAGTCACCTTACACCTGCTGCTTCTGTTCACCTAGCAGTAAGTAGGTACTTGGGTGTTAGTCACCTTACACCTGCTGTCCCAGTTCACCTAGCAGTAAGTAGGTACCTGAGCGTTAGTTGACTGTCATGGGTGGCATCTTAGGGGCGGATGGTAATGCAACTCAGAGCTAGGCTTGGAAATACTGGAAATATACACCCTGAGGTGTATATCTCTCAGTGTATATGAATTAAGAATTTACCTTAATCCAAACTTTAATGATAAAAGTATTCCCGACTAATGATGAGCAGGTTACAAAGGGCCTTAATGACCCTCGTGTAGTCGACAAGAACCAGCCAACCAGCACTGAGTCACAATAACTCAAACCATGTAAACTCAACTAGACCTAAAGAAAAAAAATGTGAAAAAAAAAAATATTTACGATGGTCAGCATAAATCCTGGTCATGAACAAGGGCGGGAGTCATCAAGGTACAACCAGTGATGTGTGTTGATGGAGTCATCAAGGTACGACCAGTGATGTGTGCTGATGGAGTCATCAAGGTACGACCAGTGATGTGTGTTGATGGAGTCATCAAGGTACGACCAGTGATGTGTGCTGATGGAGTCATCAAGGTACGACCAGTGATGTGTGCTGATGGAGTCATCAAGGTACGACCAGTGATGTGTGCTGATGGAGTCATCAAGGTACGACCAGTGATGTGTGCTGATGGAGTCATCAAGGTACGACCAGTGATGTGTGCTGATGGAGTCATCAAGGTACGACCAGTGATGTGTGTTGGAGTCATCAAGGTACGACCAGTGATGTGTGCTGATGGAGTCATCAAGGTACGACCAGTGATGTGTTGATGGAGTCATCAAGGTACGACCAGTGATGTGTGCTGATGGAGTCATCAAGGTGCGACCAGTGATGTGTGTTGATGGAGTCATCAAGGTACGACCAGTGATGTATGTTGATGGAGTCATCAAGGTACGACCAGTGATGTGTGCTGATGAAGTCATCAAGGTACAACCAGTGATGTGTGTTGATGGAGTCATCAAGGTACGACCAGTGATGTGTGTTGATGGAGTCATCAAGGTACGACCAGTGATGTGTGCTGACGAGTCATCAAGGTACGACCAGTGATGTGTGTTGATGGAGTCATCAAGGTACGACCAGTGATGTGTGCTGATGGAGTCATCAAGGTACGACCAGTGATGTGTGTTGATGGAGTCATCAAGGTACGACCAGTGATGTGTGCTGATGGAGTCATCAAGGTACGACCAGTGATGTGTGTTGATGGAGTCATCAAGGTACGACCAGTGATGTGTGTTGATGGAGTCATCAAGGTACGACCAGTGATGTGTGTTGGAGTCATCAAGGTACGACCAGTGATGTGTGTTGATGGAGTCATCAAGGTACGACCAGTGATGTGTGATGATGGAGTCATCAAGGTACGACCAGTGATGTGTGTTGATGGAGTCATCAAGGTACGACCAGTGATGTGTGCTGATGGAGTCATCAAGGTACGACCAGTGATGTGTGTTGATGCAGCACTCTCAGTAATATTTGACAAATTATTTTATCTTTCCCACGATCACTGCAGTCAACTGAAACACCAGTTGTTTAATAATAATAATAATAATAATAATAATAATAATAATAATAACTTTCAGCAAGCGTGTGCGTGGGCGTGTTAGGAGCGAGTGGAGGGACATGGTTTTTATGACTTGTTGTTGGAGTGTGAGCAAAGTAACATTCATGAAGGGATTCAGGGAAACCGATTAGCCGGACTTGAGTCCTGGAGGTGAGAAGTAAAGTGACTGTACTCTGAAGGAAGGATGGAGATAAACTGTGGTATCGGCACGCCTCTGGCAAGACAGTGATGGAGTGAATGATGACGAAAAGTGTTTCTTCGTTTTGTGTCACCCTACCTCTGTGGGAAACGGCAGATGTGTTAATAATAATAATAATAATAATAATAATAATAATAATAATAATAATGATAAGGTAGTGGTAATATCGATAATATTGTTTTATTATTCGTTATTATTAACCATCGTTGATTGGCAAACTGACTGGTAGCATGGTAATACACTCACTGATACGAATATTGGTAACTCACTCATACTAATATTGGTAACTCACTGATACTAATGTTGGTGACTCACTGATACTAATA